AATGTAAAATAATTTTATTAAAGCTTGAAATTGTACAAAGCACTTTACTTTTTAAGATTAACATGTTTAAATGTAAAAACCCCCAGTCCTCAAAGAGAAGAATGCTAGTGTTGGCTGTTGCCACACATGCAGCTTGATTGCAGGAGCCAGTGCTCCTCCCTGTTTCTTACTATGCTGGTTCCTAAAGTAAAAAATAAGTGAACTGGTAGTATTTAATGAGATGGGAGCTGGAAGAGCAGAGAAGAAAAAGAAACTCTGACCCTCTCCTTTCAGAATTGGGACAGAGAGATGAAAAAGTAAAACAGGAGGAAAATTACCTTTTAGAAAAAGAAAAAAAAGAAAAAAAAGAAAAAAAAGAAAAAGCAGCCACAATCTCATCACTGTTAGTTCACAATCACAGTTAAACTACTTCTATCTTAATCATCAATTACTACCTTACACAAAAAGAGCTCTTTTATCTGCCTGCCTTGTCAGCTACTCATAACTACTTCTATTACAAGCAATTTTTAAAGGCAAATATTTTTTTAGACTTAAACCAAATACTCATTTCTGAACTGACCATCCATAGCCACACCCAAACCCCTTTTTCTCATAACAGCTCCTATCACCACACTCTGAAACCTACGTGTACAAAATCTAAGTCATGGTCCTCAGCATGAACACCTAGGATTACAACAGTCACTTGGAGAAAACCAAAACAAACCCAATAACACAAGAAACACTGAGCAAGGGGGCAGACTGAATTAACAGCACTATCTGTACCTGTTGGCCCTGTTGCACCACAGAAGCAAAACCCCACATGTGAAGTCCAAAGCCGGGCTCTGCAAGGGGAGTCTTCCATGAGGAGTTCCTAATGAGGAGTCCTCAGTTTCACATTTGCCTGCCAACCACCTGTGCAGCCAGGTGGTGGAAGCCCATGGAAGGCTCGGCACACACTGTCCCAGGCAATTCTACCTACTGCCAGACAATCAATGTTTTTGAGAAGGTTGTTCGCAAAAACACTTACAGTACGGCTTAAGAATGCCAATCTCTTTCTGGAAATAAATACATAATTTTCTTGTAAAGCACTTGGAAGTCATTGGATTACAAGTGCAAAATACATGGCAATTGCTGTTAACAGATTTACAGGTATACTATAAACATGTCTTGAAATTATAGAAACACTTGATCACTGTCATGGTCCTCTAGCGTTGGAAATACATATATTGTCTCTAATCCAGTTTTGCCAGTTTTATGATTTTAAAGGAGTGCCAGCTGTCTCGTCAGTCAATGGCCTGGAGCACTGCTAACAAGCACAGGGGGATACAGCTGAAAAGCAGAGGGTAGCTCCAGGTGACTGTGGTGGGCATCATTAACACTGAGCTGGGGGAAGGAAAGGAGTCAGGAGGTCAGGTATCACCTTTTGACCATATCTTCAGTTTGAAATATTATCTTAATTATGTATGACTCCATTATATTTATTCTTAATCAATAGCTTCTAAATCTGGATAATGTAACTATATTGATTCAGAGGGATGGTTTTGTTCGGTTTGTTTTCTCAACGGCTAATGCAACGAGGATATAGTTTCATTGTTACACCATTAATGTTTGGGAAAAGAAATCATTAATGCAACTCTTTTGGACTTTGGAGTAAACAGAAAAGAGAGCGAAAATTCTATCTTTCCATTTAAAACAAGTGAATTAAGAATTGGTAATTAAGAACAATTATTAGTGGATAAACTAAATAGTAACTTGCATAAAAGGAATTATTACTGTGACACAATACTGAGGGAAAGAGAAACTTTAACAATGGAATGCCTACTCTGTGCTAATCTAAATACCTGTGCTTTATTGCTTCAAGAAAGTGCAGATTCACAAAAATAGTCCCAGGGAAATGGTAGAGGGTGCCAGAAAAAGAAACAAAACAAAACACCAAACAGCTGCAGTTTGGCTTGTTCAAGCTAAGCTCTGAATTTTTCTGCTTAATAAAAACATGCCTGATGTTGCTACTGTAATATGAGCATTTACATGTGTGCTTGGAATGGGACTCTTCATGCTAAAAATTATACGCCTGTTTGCTTGTTTGTTCCCATGAACAGTTTTAAATATTTTCAAAAGTTTTAAACTGTTATAAACTGTAGCAGAAGAGACAAGACGAAGTAAAAGCCATTTGTTTTCATAAAAGTTTTTAAGTTTGTAATGGTTTTTAATGGTGAAAAATCAAATTTCTTCCAAAATAAAGCAAGCAAATAAACCAGAATATTCTGTAAGTACCATAGACTTACTAGTTATTTTCTATATATTTTCTGACAAATTTGGCATAAGATTGCTCCTTCAATACCTGAATTTTCAATCTAAATACTTTCATTTTACAGAACTGTTCCTGCAAAACCTCTCTTGAAATATTTTTCAGAAGCACATAATTTTCAACATTTGGAATCCAAAAACACTGCAGGAACACTACTTGAATCTGGCTGTTAAGCAATGTCATAGCTAGCTTTAATTTGTTTAGAAGACGCTTATTAAAAGAATAAACCACCAATAGTTAGAAATAATTTATTTTCTCAATATCTTTCTGTTTTCAATATCTATAGTGCCAGTCCATAAGATTCTATGGGCAGGGTAGCAGAGCTTTAAATACAGATTTTAAAAGTTATTTTCCTTTCTAGCATAGGGCTTTTCACGTTGCAAAGCACGCTCTCATCAGTAAATAGAAACCCAGGCCACTTTAAGATTCAGTCCTTAGACAGGAGCTCCTGTCTCCAGAACCTCAATAAATTGCTACCTAAAATGCATCAGAAGTGTTTTCAGTTCAAATTTCCTACAAAGGTGTTTCAAGAGTTTTCCCATTAAATAAATCAGTTGCTAGGGAATACACCTTTTGTACACATCCCTACATAAACCATCATTATTTAGTTAGTAACACATGTCAGAAAACAATCAGCTGCCAGCAATACTACTACTACTTATTTTTGTGAGATGTATCAGAAGAGACAAGTAAATATGCCATGTTTCCATAAAAGGGTATTCTTTTTATAAATGGTTTGAGCATTGTCACAACAAAATACAGCAGCCATTTTACTTTTTGAAAGGCTTTAAAGAGACCAACTGAGGAATTTGCCGCCTTACTCCTTGAACCAAGAAGAGAACAGAAAGCCTCCTGTCCTGCTTGGTAGCTAAGAAGCAAAGAGCAAGCTATTACAGTATCATTTAAGTGCTCATCTATGCCAGCTTCTTCCTCAGGATAAAACCGAGCTCTGATCTCTAAGAGCTTGAAAACTCAGTGATGGTTTCTTCTTCAGCCCTCTAAAGGGCTTACATCAAACATTCTAATTCCTCTTTACTGGAAGAGGTTAGAAAACTTCAAGCATTATGTTTAAAGCTACAATTTCAGTGTCTTGAAATTCTGATATCTGCTGGGAGGAATATACCAATTTGGAGAAAAGGAGGTAGATTTAACTCTGACATTTTTTGACAGCGGATCCTTGTCTTCATAGTTAAAAGCACGTTTTCCACAGACAGCCATTATATTCATTGGAAGAATACTGGCAAAGGAATACAGGGAAGCAGTCGAATGCCAAACCCCAAGAAATCAGTTTCAGTAAACATTTCAGGAATATAATTTATGAATAAACCAATCACTCACTTGGTAATTAACAAAACCACTCCACAACTCTGCCCAGCTATCTCTAAAAAAATAATTTGTTTCCCTTCTGTATAACAGCATTCTCTGTAACAGTTTTTAGAGCAATATATATTTTTGATATCAAAGCACAGAAAAACTAGAATGCATTTAGAATGTACTAAATAATCACTTTGGGGTAATTCACAAATATTAAAGACCCCTTTTTAAAGCAAGTTGGCTTCCTCAAAATCTGTCAGCTCTTAGGTGAACTCTCAAGAAAGAGGAGACTGCTCCAATCTTTTGCATCTCTTTTTGAAAGGTTTGATTTTTCATAATTTTTTTTCTGATTTGCAGTATTAAAAAGTTTAAACTATGTTTGCTATTTTTTAAAAGCCCCCAGTACACTCAGAAAATCTGGCATCTGTCAATAAATTAACTTCTACCATATTTTGTTTGAATATATACATGTACATGAAGAACTGTCAGAAAGTGGCAAGATAGGCAAGTGCTTCTCCTTCTGGACACATGATGAGCACATAACACTAGTCAATCAGTATGAACCAAGAAGCAATCCTGACACCCTGGTTTCTTCTTTCTGTCCTCCCAGCAATGACAAACATTTGCAGCTGTAGTTGAGTGAAGGAGGACACAAAGAGCAGGACATGCAGCCACAGAGGCCACTTCTTCAGCAGAGGTGCTGACTGGAACTGCTACACACTGCTTGCTACCTTTCCTGGTTGATGCAAATCAGGAAGACTTGCAGGTAGACTCGTATCCATATTCAAGTTGGTAAATCTGTCTCAATTTCTCTATGTTCCCATGGAAAATCCTCTATTTCTTAAATGTATTCCCAGACTGTTTTGGAAAATAGCTGTCCCATTCCTTGCTGGGAAAGGGCCCCTCTAATATTAGTTGCCACAGCCCACTCTGAAACAAGTGTCTTCATTCTCCCTGCCGAGCAGATCCCAATAAAGATCAAGTGGTTGCTTTTGTAGACAATGTTTCTTCACCTAAAGCTTTCTTCTTTTCTTACTGACTTATGCTTCATACACTGAAAAGATTTTTTAATTCTTCCAGTTAACTGCATTTTAAGCAGTTATTAAAATGTTTTATAATACAGAATTGCATGTGGGCTACATCAACAGCACACAAAACAAGATCTACAGGCTGACAGATAATGAACTACCAGTTTTCAAAGTAGTTGTTGGCAGTCCTAAAAAGGACCAAGTTTACCTTGTGTAATGCACTAAGCATGCACATTTAGCAAAATGCTGTAAGCCAGAATAGCCATTTCCTTCAGACATTGGCAGAAACTGACTCCAGAAGGTGTATTTGAGTTCTACACAGATTAAATAACTATCACAGTACCTAAAAAAAAAACCACAGTAAGACAACCTTCTGGTTTAAAAACGTTTATTTAAAAGAAAAGTAGATCTATACCCAGATGGCCAGGAGAAAAAAAAAACAGAAATCCCCAGTTCCACCCCCCCGCCCCGTTCCTCCCCCTCCAAACATTGCTGTGCAATTTACCTTTCCCTTAAGTTTCACCTTCAGTGTTTTAATTAAACAAAACCAAACACACCTGAACTTTCATTTCCTTTTTCTATGCTCTTAGACCTGAGGAAATTAAGTACCTTTCACTGAAGGGTTGCATGGGATGTGAGAAGAAACCGCCATAAAATTTATTCACAATATACAAGTATAAAAATATCTTGCTTAGGATTAAGTATTATAATTTAATAACTTTTCGTTGTTTCATAGGTATCTGGGAAAGGTACAGACACATGTCCTGATCCTGTTACAAGAGGTAGAATGCCAGCATTTGGTACAACATTCCAGGAGAGAGTCAAAGTGACATTCCTGTTTCCCCTGCAAAAGCAACAAAGAATATTAGTACAAATACTCAAGTTAACTAATTTAATTAACAATAGTAAACAAATTAGGATACAAATTGTTTTCCTGAATCAGAAATAATGGGCTTTTTAATTTTATGTAGTTACTTCATGAAGTATTACCTATTTCCCAGATAAGCTTTTTTTTTTTACTGTTACCTAACTCCTTTGGAGTGGAGTGCATTACAGAACCAACTCTACAGAAACCCAGAAGCCTATTGCTTATATTAGCAGTGTATCTTCTCATCTACAGAAGAAACAGGATACCTTGTATTCCAAGGTCATCTTCTAACAATCAAACTACAAAGGTATCAGATAGAACACATGTACCTTACCACAGCAGTAAAAACACATATAAAATGCAATGTATGCAAGTAAATCAAGACAGTGACATGAACAGTAATTAGAAAATGATGTACGTACTTGAGACCATTTCCATCATCGAAGAAAAAGTACTTTGACTTCATGTCTTTCAAGAACAGCCTTGGGTTATCTCCTCTCAACATTATCTTGTCCCAAAGGACCACCTGGTTTAGAGCCTAAAACCAGAATTGTCATTAAGTTGGCACGGTACCTTACAAGATCATATTCAGTCACTGGAATTTCACAGCATTGTTCATCGAAAACCCCTGAAGTTGAAATATGTACTTGTAATCCACAACCAATTTAACAAAATAATGCTTTACTGGAGAGAAAAAAATATTACTACAGACTGAAATGTGGCACAGAATAAATGGGAACAACAAAGAACAGCTCAGTAAAACATGAGAAAGCCATTTAAAAAGTCATAAACTTTCAAAGTCTTACAAATAATGATGGGTTTTCCTTTTTAATTCAAAGATAAGTCACTTTTCAAGCAGTTTTTGACTTTGTTTCCAATCAAGAACTTAAATTGAGCTATCATGACACTGCCTAGATATTTAGAACTTTAATGGAAAAAAACCTACTGCAATTGCAAGTGTAACCCCAAGAATTGTATGAATGAAAAGACTGACCCCAAAATCTCAAATATTTGAAACTTTACACTGTTAAGTAATTAAGTGCTAAAGAGTCTTGTTTAGTACCTTACAGAATATAGAAAATAGTATTTCTCAATATCTGTAAGAACTATTGATTTACATGAAAAAAACCTGCAACCTAAGTAAAACAAGACAACAAAGTCCCAGATATAGAGCCCTAAAATCTATTTTAGCATAAACACAGTATTGGCATGTATAAAGTAACTAAGCTACTTTAAAATAAAAAAAGTAGGGAGATAGTTTTGTGTAAAAAGTTATGAAAAAACCCCAAGCTTTCACTATATCCTTGCAAAGAGACCACAGTAGCTTTGACAGAATTCAGTGGTACCATGGCATCATGATGTTTCATTAAGGTAATTTACTTCCATACGCTGTTCTACATAGCTCCTATCAGATCAGTGAAAAAAGCTGATCCAAATTGAAGTATCAGCAGCAACCAATTTAAAGGATGCAGCAAGGCCAATTATTTTGAGCAGTATATGACAAGATAGCATAAATGTATTATGAAGCTACAGTACAGGCAAACACATCTGTGGTCTATGAATAAAAGACCCACCACACCTGGCCAGACCAAAGGCCATTACATCTTGTTTGTAACAGCAGTCAACGGCAGAACATCAGGGAAAAGTAAACCAAACAGAACAAATAAGTGGAAATAAAAAAAATCATTTACAGTCCACTGTTGTCAGTGAACAACAAGGCGTGTGTCACCGTTCTCCCACTCTGCTGGCCACATACCCAGTTAGGTTTCATGAGGGTGAATTTCCCACCTGGCAGTTAACCTGTCAATAAAATAATCTTGAAGACCAGTAAAACCAGTCCAAGCTAGTAGGAAATGTGGTGCCTTAACTCTTCCCAGCAGAACTTCAGAACGTTAAAAATAGCTGCCATACAAAATGGGTAATTGCTTCAACTTTTTGATACTTACATTGTTTTTTGTTGAATATTCCGCAGACAAATACAGAAACAATTGTTTAACATTCCAGTCAAATATACTCTGCAGATGTATGCAAGTTAAGAAATATACCATATTGTACTTACATAACCTTGTTTTATTTCTACAAGATCTATACAGACTGATAATTACAGTGAGTTCTTACCTTTCAACATATCACATCTAATTTATAAATCAGAGCCCTTCCAGGAGTTCTAATAAATATTTTAATCCTATTAAAGCAACAGGTTTCAGGGCTGTTCTTTTTTTTACTATTTAAGAAATCTAACAGCTATTTCCTCCAATGATTTAAGAGTTCTGTATTTGACACTGCAACCCAGTAATAATAATCCACTGCTAGACAACCTATGATAAAACCTTAAACATAAAAGGCAAGACAGAATTCTTCAGTAAATATCTTCAAGGCAATTATTCATACTGTCAACTGGTATCTAACTGTGGATCGAGATACAATGGCATTAAATAATATATAAACACAAAATTAACAGCGTGTAGAGAGTTTAAAGATCCTATAATACCCACATTAGGGAAGTTAGTAGATGGGAAATATTGCATATTGGAAGGGACATCAGGAATTAGCAAATTTAATTACCTACTTACTACAAAGAAAGTCAGCTGATTACACTGGAACAAAACTGCTCAGATTTTTGGTCAACAGTAAAGAACTAATGACTGCTATTTGAGAGTGTCAGTATTATAAAGTTATTATTCTAAATACTTCTCTGTTTATTTGGCAATAAAATGCACCATGTGTGACTAAGGAAAAGACCTTTTAACTCATTTTTATTCCAGTATTGTTTATTATATTTGACACTATCTCAAAGAATAAATTAAGCAGATTCCTCAACCAGCCGCAAAAGCTGTTCTATCTTGTTTCACTCATCCCAAGACTCGTGTTAAGCCGCTAATTCGAAAGGCAAGTAAGGAAAGCATTTAATAATTAACTGCTGTTTCTGCATGGATAGAGCTATTTTACTTGGAACATTTTTCATCACTTAACTCAAAACAAGATTCTGAAGATCTCCTTTGTAGAATTTCTTAACACTTGCTAAAGTTAGCCATGAAGAGTTTGTGAAAACTGTCTCCTCCCCTTTCTCTAGTTTACTTTTCTGTCATTTTATTTAATTCTTCCTAGGACTAGCAACTTGTTTCCTTTAGTTAAGAGAGCCCATATCCCAGTAGCTCTTCACAAATTTTGTCCAAAAAGACTAATCAGAAAGTTGTATCTTACAACCCTACACACTGCAAGGCTTGTTTATGCCAGGCATGAAATATTAAGCCAAGAGATTTATATAAAAAAATATCAAACTACTGCTACTATTAAAAGTAATTAAAACATGGAATCTTTATGTCCACATACTGTAGACTAATCCTTGTATAAGAACACTTCTTTTAGTGGTCCTGTCCTGCCTTGTTCTGTCTCCTCCTATATACACTGCATACAATTAATCTACTTCTGAATTTCAGTTTCTGGTTTTAATATGTATAAGCATTTCAGAGGTAAAACTCAGACTTAGGACTTCACATCTCCTACTTCCATCTGATAAAAAAAATCCCACTTATTCCTGTGCAACGCATATCTGCAAAAATGTGAATAACCTGTTTATCCAGCGTTCACACACATTCAGGACTTCTATTTTGTTTGATCTACTTACACAATGTGGTACTCTTCAAAAACAGGGAAACTGAAACACTGAGGTAATCAGTGCCTTGCCCAACAGTGACAAAAAACAGCAGACAGGGAAAAATCCCAAGAATCTCAGTCCAGCTGCAAAGCAAGGCTTAGTGTAATCACCTGAGGTAAAGCACACCGTCTCATACTGACTTTGCAGAAAAACACAGATTACTTTTTTTTAACGTCAAGATCCTAAATCCTAAGAATGATACCCTTCTACCATCAAAAAACCTACGCAAAATAAAACCAAAACATCCGCACATAATCCTCTTTCCCCAATAAAAAAGAGGCTAACAGGGAAGCAGAAAAATACAAAAGAAAGGTCACAAAAAGGTAACAGCAATGAGAAAGAGGCCAAAAAAAAATGTGATAAATTTTGTAGCACCTCATATGCTTCCCAATGAATTTCATAATATTCAACATTAAAGATTTGATAGTTTAACATCTAAGCAAGTAAAAGATTACAATGTCTTTTTATTTTTAAAGGAAGACAGGTACTTGTATGCAATTATTATGTGGCTAGAACTTAGAAAACCTCACAAAAGTTTGAAAGGTGCAATGGAGTTTCTAGATTCAGTATGACAGTCAAAACAGTATGTTATTTAAATCCCATAATTCACACCTCAAACCAACACGTATTTCACTTAACGGTAACACTGTCCAGATGTTAAAATGCAGTTCCTGTTATTTGATACACTGCACTTCACTATAGAGCTTAATTTTAAAACCAGGAAATCTAAAAAAAAAAAAAAAAAAAAAAAAAAAGTGCCCTGTGTCATCTACTAGACACAGAACAGCTACTCCAAGTTCTGTTCTACTGCCCTACCTATGTAAATACTACTTTTCATTGCTTTAGATTTATATTTGAAGACAAACTGCTAGCTTTCCCAAAGTCCTGAATATCTGAAGATTAAGTGGTAACAAAAACAGATGTAAAGATGTTCTTATTTCAAAGTGTTTGCAAACCATTTTTCCCATTAAGGATATCTGCAGTAATGTCAAATGTGATGAATCCCAGATCACTTCTTTCTCTAGGTCCAGTGAAATCTTCTACATTTTTTCTAAGACAAAACAAAACACAAGATTATCTTTCCTCATTATTTCTCTTTCATGTGTTACATAAGTTATTCTTACTACATATCTCATCCATTTCCTGTACTTTCCTTTAAATACTTTTGGCTAAAACACAGTCAACATTACAAAATAAAACCTGCCTTCCAGAAATTACGGAGCCTGTTTTGAATGACAGACCTTGCCACTACAGTAGTCTAAATTATATAAGTAGTCTATAGACTTTTTCCTGTTAACAAAAATCTCTATTTGTACCTAAACTACCAGACATTTCATTTTAGTAAATATGTGTTAGCCATTCGCAAATATATAAAGCTGACTGGAATACCGCCAGCATAGCTGTCTGCTGGCAACGATTTTCAGTATTATTTCTCAACTTTCCATTAAAAAAAGCCTCTAGTGCTCAGTCTCATACAAGACACTTCAGCCATTCTGATAAAACAGCGTTTAGGTTTGTAGTACACAGAAGATTTCTCAATGGAATGTGGTTTTTTCTACATTATTATTACAAATCAATGTTTGAAGAAATATCTGACATTGCCATACTAAACCACATTAGAAAAAAACCCTGGAAAATAACAGACACACAGAAGATATTTTCATATGTAGTCACAAAGCTTATCAATTTAGTCAACTTACCCTCTACAAGGAGGAATACCATAAAAAGGTTGGTAATCAGCTAATGTAACAAAACTTTTATGAACTTCTTACATTTATTCCAGCTTGAAGATTAGTCCATTAAAATATCATTTCATTAAAATTAGACTTAGTAATCTCAAAGAAAAAAAAAAGGTTACCAGCAGAAAAAACTCTTTTGGAGACAGTAGTTAAGAAAAACACCAGCAAGACTTCCCAATGTAGGTCTTGCTATAAATTTCCATCTCTTTGCAAAAAGCAACGTCTTTTTAAGCAGTGAACCTTATCAAGCATTTGACCTCATTTCTGAATCCCTGTCAATGTGGTAGAGTAATGGGCCTTAAGCCAGGGACATGCAGAATTTCTCAGAAGTTCCAAGAAAAGCAACTAAGGTATAACATCTCTCGCTAATAGCGGATCAGCACATCATGGAAGGGACGGGTATAACGCTGTAAATTCATAAATATTAGGTATTAGTATTCTCCCTCATATGCATCAAGCTCACCTGAGCACTCAAAAAGATGCTTTTATGATGGTTTTATATTGTTTGCAATCCTCAATCTAGCATAAATACAGCATTTATTTTCACGAGAGATTAAATCAATACAAAATGCAATGGCAGTTCACACCTTATATTTGCATTCACCTCCCCTTTCAAACCCTGCTGCTAGCCATCCACTCCTGCCACCTACCTTGGGGTGCTCCAAAGCTCCATGAGCTGCTTTAGCTCACTGACTTGGCCAAAACCAAACTAAATGGACTCATTAGTCGAGCCAAAACAGCTCAGTCTTCAAGGACCATGTGGCTAAAAGCAGCAGCAAAGACTTCCACTTTTTGGTGGCTGTAGCAGCTGCTCAACTGCTCGTGAAACTACGGCCCTCCATGCCATACACACTTAACTTGATTAAAGTTTTCTGTGACAGTTTCCTTTTCAAAAAAAGAAATATTGTAAAAAAGGTTCCCTGGCACAAGTTTGCATCGGCATATTGTGTCACGCGGGCAACACGCTTCTGATGTGGCATCACGTATTCCGGCTACACCTGGTGCATTTCACGGGAAGGTGAGCCGGCCCAGTCAGGCTGCTGCCACCGAGCTCGCCCAAAAGAAAATATGTTACCAGAGGAAAAACGCAGGGGAACTACGCATTAAAAGAGAGGGACTACGGTGAGAAACCGTATATCGGTTTACGTCCCCGCAGTTTGCCGCGCGGACCGGCGGCGGAACGCCCAAGGCGGGCGGCACCGCCCCAGCTCCCGCCCGGCAGGGGCGTGAGGCGGCGGAGCGCCGTC